ATATCCTGGCCGATCCTTGCTAGCCGTTCCTCCTCAGGAGCTTACCCGCTAGGTTGTGATCCCCACGTCCGAAGAACACTCGCAAGTGATCTAGCTCCCCTCCAGACTCAACCCTTCCTCCCCTCGTCTCACCGCAGCGGAATCATCAAGTCACAGTCGCAGTTATTTAGGGAATTTTTTAGCAACCTCCGTTATTCAGGCAAGGGCGTGGGATTGCTAGACGGGTTGTAAATAACCTTGGTCAACCCTCAGGTTTAGCCGGTTTCGAAACAGCTCAAGCAACCAGAACTCGCTACCTCGCGTTCAACAAGAAAAAGTTGAAAATCAAATCAAATCATGTTCGGGCTCCATTCGAACGAGCAAGCCCCGTAGGGACACAAATCTGGAGCCGTGGCCTGCCTCATAGTCGGCGGCGCCCAGGATTTCCCTCCGAAATGGTTGCACATCCGTGTCTGCCAAATTTCCAAACGTTCCCGAATCCCAGTAAGTAGTTTCGAACGGCGAAAAAGGCCCTGGCGCGCGGACTCAAATACATGACCTCGGCTCGGATTGAACGAGCTCAGTCCCGCTCATGCGTAAACTGCCCAACAAATGGGTGTGCGGAAGCGTAAGCTAGGTCTCCTTCGGTTCTGAATAATGTTGGCGAGTCGGACTGATATTTTGGTTCCATGCTAGTTCCGTGAAGAAGAAGAAAAGAAAAAAAAGTACATCCGGGTTCGTCATAACCCAGACTCGAATGGAACGAACGACTCCCGTGAATGAAGACGAATCGTGCAGCTTGCGCGGGTGCGGACCATCCGCAACTAGGTCTCTCTTAAATTTCTTTCTGACTGCCACAGGTCTATTCCTCATTCTAGGTAACTCGCCCGCAGATAGAAAGAAAGAAATTACAAGACATGGAAGTATGACCCCGAACGAGGCAACTCTCGCGGACGACTTGAACTAACTCCCGAAAAACTTCATACGGATGCGCCTCTCGAACGACGCTCTGACGGTGAATGAAACTACTGTCTCGTCCAGAGTCCAGAGTCCACCCTGAGGAAAAATCCTGGAGGCTCTCTCTCCTACACGACCCAGGCTCGAATCGAACGAGCGAATCCTGCTCATGTGCAAGCTGTCCAGCACAAACTCAGCTGTGGACTGTCAGCTGGGTCTCCTTTAGTGCTGATCAAGTTAACTGATATTGTGAGGCCGTCCTGCTTGGGTTGACATTCACCATCGAGGGAAAAAAGGAGGATGGACCAGTGGGTGACCCTGGCTCGAATCGAGCGAGCAACTCCCGTGAACTGAAGGCTTACAATACGAAGTTAGGACGGATGCGGACCGTCCGCTACAGGGACTCTTTCAGGTCAAGTACTGACAGTGACCGTATCTCGTCTTCGTCGCTCGCGGTAAGTTGTATGTAACATGATCCCTGCCGCAAGAAGAAAATCTAAGTAGCAATATGGGCGATATATTGTCCAAAAATTACCAGTTTTTTGCAGGGTTTTTGACCGCAACTTACATCTCAATCTTGCATGGAGTGCAGTTGATTCTTGTGGATGATATCTTCGACCATGGGTTGCATCTTCGAGGCGGGTGACACCTCCCCATGTGCTTGTACCTGTTTGGCTATGATACATCACGGCGGCCAACGCGTCGGCAATCGGCCATTTCCGTCGGGATCGTTTTCTGCCCGTTCACGCTACATATGCGGCTCCGGCTGGTGCTCATGGAATATTTCTACGTTAGCGGGCACCAACAGCACCGTTTCCCACCTTCGAGAACCCAAATTCCTCCTTGAACCGCCAATTTTGGCGAGGTCTGAATGGGTTCACGAATGGGCGGGACTTGGGTCTCGATATCTTCAGAAGGGTTCATAACCATTTTATTCACCGTTTTCATGTATAAATACCCCTCCCGACTACATAAATCCACAAAATCATTGGTGTTCCATTTCAACAAGTCGGCAGCGAGTCGGCACGCACTTTGTTCCGCCGATAGGATCACCGCCATCAGAATCTACTCGATTTTTCGACCATAAAGTTGAAAACTTGTCCTTCAGCGAAGAAACCTGAGCAAGGAAGCCTCTTCGTGAAAGTGCAGACCTGGTACAAAGTTGTGACCGTTTCCGGGACTTGACACCAGTTGCAACCCAAAATCCCTGTTTCCAGTTGGTGTTGTAAGCTAAGGTAATTTTTGTACAGTATATGTGCCATATAGCAAATCCGGATTCAACATGGTCAATTTCCAATCCCATTTCAACCAGGACTCGCAACCCAACTTTAACACTGGGCAGGCACCTAGATCTGCCTTGCTGTCACTGGTCGGTCTTGAATGATAAATGCCTTCGATTCCAATAGGCTCTCTCTCTCTCGTAACCTCGCCGGCGGATGAAAAAAAGGATCGAACCCCAATATGACCCCGGCTCGAATCGAACGAGCGACTCCCGCGAATACCTCGCTGTCATTCGTCCAGTTATAGCGGGTGCGGACCATCCGCTGCAGGGTCTCTGCAAAATTCATTCGAGATAGTACTGGATTTTCTTCCGGAGTTCAGCTCAAAGGAAACAAAAGCAATACTTTGAAAACATTCGAACATCTGAACCACGACCCAGGCTCGAGTTGAACGAGCAGCTCCCGGCGCCCGCGGACACAAGACTTCCTAGGGTTAGGTTAACGCGGGTGCGGCCGGTGCGCAACTGGATCTCTTTCAAATTCTTCCTCGCCGCCATCAGGTCTAACTTGAATGTGGCGCCGCAACTTCGCAGTCGGAAAAAAAAGCAACGTTGAGTACCATCATGCCCCGGCTCGAATCGAACGAGCAAGCCGGCAGTAAAATCTCTCGCAAACAAGGTAATACAGGTGCGGACCTTCCGCTACAGAGGCTCTGTCGAGTCAAGTACTGACGGCAATAGCCTCTCGTCCTCGTGGCTCGCGGTAACATGATCCTGGTGCAAGGGAAAAATCCAGGAAATCCGGAGTCAAGGTCAACACAAGTACTCAAGTTCAACATGGCTAATTCCCCATTTCAACCCTGACTCGCATCGAACGCGCACCTGCGATTCCTAACAGTCCGCGCCCCGTAAATCCCTTCCTGGCCGTCACAAGCTGTTGTGATTGTTGCGGTAACGGAAAAAAAATGCTCGTAGCAAGGCCCATCATGCCCCCCCGGCTCGAATCGAACGAGCCAGTCCCGCGAAGAAATGACTGCTGCGCCAGGTTATAAGTAACGGGTGCGGACCATCCGCTGCAGGGTCTCTGTTGTAATATTCAGTCGAGATGGTAGATTCTCTTCCGGAGTTCAGATCAAAGGAAACGAAAGCAATAAGTACTTTGAACATTTGCCCCCACGACCCAGGCTCGGGTTGAACGAGCAGCTCCCACGAACACACGGCTCCCTAGCGTCAAGTTAATGCGGGTGCGGACCGTCCGCAACTAGGTCTCATACAAATCTATCCCTCGCCGCTATTAGTTCTCACTTACTTGTGACGTCTACCCTCGCTGTCGGACAGAAAACAGCAACGGGCATTCCAACCATGTCTTCCGGATTGCTGGCTTTTTTCTTGCGCCAGCAATCCGGAATGAATTCCCCTTCAACCACGAATCACTTCGAAAGACCACCAGCAATTCCCAACACCGTGCACCCCCAGATCTGCCTGTAAACTCTTCCTGCCATCACAAGCTGTCGTGATTGTCGCGGTAAGTGTCACAGAAAACGTAGTCTCACCTAGTCAGACTTCACCAGATTTATGAAAGTCGATAAATCTTTTATACAAAAAAACGCAGATCGCAACATTCCGCACGCCCCCGGCTCGAATCGAACGAGCGACTCCCGCGAACAAATGGCGTTCGTGTCAAATCATAGGTAGCGGGTGCGGACCATCCGCCGCAGGGCTTCTCTTGAGGCATCTAAGGACGGCGATAAGTAGCTTCTTGCCCAGGATCGACTTAAGAGAAAACTTGTTTTTATCATATTATAACCCAGGCTCGAATCGAACGAGCGCCTCCCGACGAAGTTGCCACGGGTGCTGACTATGCGCCACAGAGTCTCTCTGAAAAATTCCTGGTCGCCGTAGGCTCTCCTTCACGCCCAACGACCTCTGGTGGGAGGTCAAAAGGAGATAAATTCCCAACCCTATGACCCCGGCTCGGATTGAACGAGCGACTCCGGAAATCTAATCAAATACGGGTGCGGACGATCCGCTACAGGGTCTCTTTCAACAGATTTACTGACTCGGATGACCGTCAGATTCTCGTTCACCTTGATCCTCATCGACGCACTTTTTTGTTTCTTCTCTTCAACAAATCAACTCTTCAACAGATCCACTCTAATTTTTCTCTGCTTCAGAATTTCGATCCCCCATTGCGAACTTGAAACCTCTCCCAAAATGCCCGCCATGTTGTTCGCCGAGACGGCCGAGCACGATGTCAACATGCGAGTGGCCACTAGCCTGTGACTAGGTCAGTCTCTTCTCAACCTCCGTTGCCTGGGATTGATACTAGTAGATTCGCGTTTAGTTTCATCTGCACTCGAAGTAACAGGCGGAGGATGGAATATAAGCGCCTCAAATATTTTCACCTCCGCCCACGACTTGCTCACCGTGCGCGATAAAAAGTTGATAAAAAGTGAATTCTTCAATCTGCGGAGTCAAACCGATGGAAGAAGAGCAAACAAAAAAACCGGGACGTTAACGGCGATGACCCAGACTCGAGTCGAACGAGCACCTCCCGCCAATAAGGCCATGCATATCGGCAGCGAACTCAGTTGGCGCGGGCTCGGCCCATCCGCGACTGGATTAGTCTCTTCTGAACCTCTGTTTCCCAGAATTGGGTCGCCTCTGCGCTTGGAGGAACAGGCACAGAACGAGTGAGATATGTTCTGTTCTCTCACCACCACCAGACACTCACCGCTCACTCGCAGTCACCGTGCACACCCATTGCGGTGCTATTGCGCACTGAATCTGCGGGCCACCTCGACAGACAAAAGGAAAGAAAAAACCTCTTGCTCGAGAACAGCAATGACCCAGACTCGATTCGAACGAGCGCCTCCCGCTAAGGAGCAGCAGTTGACTAGTTACTGCGGGCGCGGACCATCCGCCACTGGGTCAGTGTCTTCCAACCCTCGTTTTCCAGGATATCTGTGCCTTCAGGGTCAGCTGCACTCGGAGGAACTGGGAGAGAATAAATAAGACATGTAAGGCCGTCCCGTCCATCACTAGAAGCTCAGCGCTCAACGCTCACCGTGCGCTCTGAGAAGTGACCTCTTCAACCTGCGGGGTCACCTCGACCGGAAAAAAGGGAAAAGAAAGCGGGAACACACATGACCCAGGCTCGATTCGAACGAGCACCTCCCGCTGAGAAAATCCCCAGCAACTAGTTGCTGCGGGCGCGGACCACCCGCAACTGGGTCTCTTCTCAACCTTACAGTAGTTGCCGATAGGTCTCTGTCCCCAATCACCTGCGCGCTATGGTTTGGTTTCAACCGCCATGCACATGGTCGCGCTATCTCAACTCAACTTCAAGACAATTCCCCTCGCACATGGCCACGACGCGCTCAATCCCAACAACAATAACCTAATCCCACCGCTACGCTAATCCAAATACCCCGGCGGCGCCTCCTCATCCGAAAGCCCCAACGCCCACTGCGAGTTCAACTGCCCCTCCAGCGCTCGTATCCGCTCTTGCAGCGCCTCGTTTTGTTGACGTGCCTGCTGGAGGTCTGCGCCACTCGCCCCGCTTGCCGCACTCGCCCCAATCGCACTCCCAGACTCCAAATTCGCACTCGACGCCGCCGAGGGTGAAGTCGCCGTCGTCGTAGACGGCGATGTAGCAGTAGCAGAGGGTGAGGTCGTAGAGGGTGAAGTAGCGGTGGCACCCTCAAGCGCGCGCAACTGCCACTGCACCGCGCGCAGCTGGTTCGTGAGGTACTCCTGCCTCGCCTGCGCCGCTTTGCCGCTCATCATCCTCGTCCCCGTCCCCGTCCCCGTCGCACCACCGCCTCCACCTCCCCCTCTGCCCGTGCTAGCGCCGCTGCGCGATTCGCTCGCCCCCACACTCGAGTTTGAGTTCGTGAAATCGGCGTCGGCGTCAGGCGCGAACGGCTCGATGCGCAGCGCCGTCGGGCCGAGGGGGAGCGGGTGTCCGTGTTTGGAACTGGAGAAAGGTAAGGCGGACCCGGACGCGGACTCGAGCATCTCGGGGTCGGAGGCGCGCCGCGTTTTGCGGCGGCGGAGGAGGATGAGGGCGAGGATGAGGAGGATTAGGAGGAAGAGGGCGGCGATGATGACGCCGACTATGAGGCCTGTGGAGGGGGCGGATTTGCTGCTGGGGTCGGGTGAGTATGTATCGTGCAGGTACAAATTATAAAGGGGAGGGAGGGGGAGGTGAAAGATGGAAGGGATGGGATAATACACAATATACAATGAATGCGTACCTCGATGACCCACCGACTGGGGGAGATGGCGATGAGGAGGGGGCGCCGGCGGCGTCTGTTGTTGCTGGGGCGCGCGAGGGCGTCGCGGACGCAGACGACGAGGCGGGGGCGCTTGGGGCGGGGGCGGAGGTAGACGCTGCGGAAGACGACGCGGCGGCGGACGACGACGAACTTGCGAGGTTGATGGTGAGCGGGGTTGAAAGTGAGAATATGCCATCCACTCTGTGGGTAGGATAAGAATTCGATGCTAGTGCGTCAATAGAAGGCTCAGCACGTACAGCGCCGTCGCGGGTCCTGCACCGATCTGCCACTGCTGCCTAGCGAAGCGTTCGTTCTTCACATCAGCGGTGCTTGAAGTGACCGGGCAGGAGTGAAGACGCACCCGTCCCCCGTCTCGTCAATCAAATCGACCTGCAGCTTCGTCGGCGTCGTCGCTGGAAGGACCCTAGGCAGCAGGTCAAAGTATCCCCCCGCGCCGTCGAGATGGCCGATCCAGAAGGTGAGGTTGCCTGCCGGGTCGGTGGCCTCGCTCTGGTAGGTGATGGTGTAGGGGCCAGTCGTCGCGGTGGTCGATGGGAGGGTGAAAATGAGCGCGCGGGCTGAGCCAGCACTAAAATCATTCGTAGGAGGTAGTCAGCGTTGAAGGTAGCGGCGTGCGGGGGAACGGACTGACCCCGCGCAAAAGACGGCCAGCCAGGCGGGGACGCGCATTCCGCGGGGCGTTCTCGTTCTGCGGCTTCAGAGAATAAGAAATGAGGGCGTGGTGGGAGAAGGCAAAAGTGTCCAAACCATTGGGTTTGCCGCGATCAACCGGGTCGTTACGAACGATGTTGACATCGTGGCACGGGATCCGCGGGGATCGCCATGGATCGGCCGTCTCGGGGAACAACATGGCGGCCAGTTTGGGCAAGGCTATGAATGCGGAATGGGGTGGTTGGTGGATGGGAATCGATATGTCGAAAATTAGAATTTATTCAGATCCTGCTCAGAGTGATCATTTGTTGAACATGTTGAACATGTTGAACATGTTGAACACAAAGAGCGCTGTGCCGATTGGGATCAAGGCGAACGAGAATCTGTCCGTCAGTAAATCTTTCCAAAGAGACCCTGTAGCGGATGGTCCACACCCGTATTCAATAAAATTACCGCGTCATCGTCAGCGGGAGTCGCTCGTTCAATTCGAGCCGGGGTCATGGGCGTAGCGAACTAGAGTTTTTTTTCCCCTTTCCAACCGACAGAGAAGTTGCGGCGCCAGAGCTGGTTGAACGTGAACGAGAGCCTACGTGCCCACCAATCTCTCAAAGAGACCGTGTGGCGGTTGGTCAGCACCCGTGGTAACGCTCGTTCCATTCGAGTCTGGGTTGTAAGGTTGAAATGGGGACCATTTTTCCTTCTTCTAGGTGCATCATCCCGGGCAAGAGGCTATCACCGTCACTAAGTGCCTGAAAAGAGGCCCCGCAGCGGATGGTCCGCACCCGCTATAACTTGTAGTTCCCAACCCAGCCATTATTCGTGGGAGTCGCTCGTTCGATTCGAGCCGGGGTCATAGACGCTCTTCATACAAGATTTTTTTCTCAGTTATCACAACAATCACGACCAGGAAGGGTGTACAGGCAGGTCTAGGGGGGCGCACTGTTGGGAATGGGAATTGCAGGTGCTCGTTCGATGCGAGTCGGGGGGGAGCCAATATAATCATGAATCCGGATCACGTGCTTTCTTTCTTGTATGATCGGTAAAAGGCCGACAAGCGGCGGGGCACAAATAGAACGTCGAGGGTTGGATTCCGCGTCACATAGTCGTATGGAAATTACTCAAAGGATACACATTATATTGGGCACACGCGAACAGAGGCAGCCAGGCCAGCACGCCAGAATATTGGTACACTACGGTCGCGGGCGATGTCAAAGAGCTCATGGACTTCACCCTTCATTGATGGAGTGGTAAGGGATGCATGGTGTGTTGAAGGGTGCTGGTACTGACAGAAGCCTGAGGGAAGATGGACTTAGTTCGACTCTGAATGCAAGCACAATCATTTTCATTGTCAGGATATCACCCGCAGACGCTCCCCTCACTGTAAGTGAGCGGAGCCGCCGTCAGGGCGCAAGCGTGAGGTGCGCCTCCCCCACCTTTCTTTTTCTTCAGATTATCCCCACACTTTTTACCCTCTGCGCGCGACCGCACATTTCCTTCTTTATTGTCCCGCTGTTGGCTGTGTCGCATCGCGCGCCATGGTTTCGAACGGAAGAGATCGAAGGCAAGGAGGGTGCACATGCGAAGGGTTTGCTGTTTGGGGCGAGACGAGGTCGAAGTTGATTCGACCGAGATGCTGCTGGCGATGGATCTCAACTACCATCTGTTTGCTCACCTGCTTCGAGATTTAGAAAATGCTGCACCGCACGCGTGCAGGCACAGACCAGACTCTTGGCTGGAGTTATATCGTCTCTGTTAAACAGATGGTGCAACATTTTGACCCCCCACCTCGTTGTGTTGCAGGGATGTTGAACCAACTTGAATGTTTTAAATTTTTCGTGGTTGAATTTTATTTAGTTTGAGTCGTAAAATTCGCAGGAATTACAGTTTTTAAATGAAAGTATAGTGACTCCACGGAAATCACAAGGAGACTGTGCTCCAGAAGTGTGCGGTTGCAGGCAAGAGGAAGAAAGGAATCAAGCGCGGTGCGCGTCTATCAGTTTGATGTGGCAATGCTATGCCGAGGAATGCCGTGATGGAACAAGGTCACGTTTTTGCGGACATTCTCGGTGGTCAAGAGCACAAATATTCACTTCGTTCTATTTGTGAACCACCGCCCTGTTGGACACGAGAGGCCACGAGAGGCTACCCAGGTCAGCATTTCCCTCAAAAGAGTCGAGTCCCTGTGGCGGATGGTCCGCATCTGTATTCTATGAGGAACCTCTAAGCGCGGTTGTCCGCGGGAGTCGCTCGTTCAATTCGAGCCGGGTCGTGAGGGTATGCGGAACGAATTTTTTTCTTCTTTCCAACCGACAGAGAAGTTGCGGCGCCAGACCTGGCTGGACTTGAACGGAACTCGTGGTGCCCAGGAATTTTTTACAGAGAGACTGTGTGGTGCATGGTCCGCACCCGTGTTAACTTCTTCGGGAGGCGCTCGTTCGATTCGAGCCTGGGTTATAGTATGATGAAAACGAGCTTTCTTCTGGGCAAGAAGCTGGGTAAGACCGTCAGTAAATGCCTGAAAAGAGATCCTGCGGCGGATGGTCCGCACCCGCTACTTATAACTTGACAACAGCCATTTATTAGCGGGACTTGCTCGTTCGATTCGAGCCGGGGGCATAAGGAAGGCTCTACTGGAAGCATTTTTTTGCGCAACAACCACGACAGCTTGTGACGGCCAGATCTGGCGGCGCACGGTCTTGGTAATCGCAGGTGCGCATTCGATGCGAGTCCAGGTTGAAATGGGGACTTGACCATGTTCAATGCAACAAGTGGAGGAAAACGGCAAAGTCCGAAATGACTCAAGCGAGACCCAGTTGCAGACAGTGGCCCGCGTTCGCATCAGCTGCGTAAGTCGCCAAATCTCTCTGTTCGTGGGCGCTGCTCGTTCAACTCGAGCCTGGGCGGTAGGGGAAAATGTTGGAGTGCTTTCTTTTCCCTTCGAAGTGGACTCCGGACGAGACTCTATCATCTTGAATGAATCTCACAATAGAGACCCTGAACACTGTGGGGAGGCCTAGCGGATGGTCCGCACCCGTCTGAACTTTGCTGGGTAAACTTCAGTTGTCCACGGGAGTTGCTTGTTCAATTCGAGTCAGGGTCATGTTGGGTTTTGACCGGAGCTTTTTTTCATCCGCCGGCGAGGGTAACGAGAGAGAGAGAGAGACTATTGAGATATAAGGGCGACCCAGTGCAGCAAGGCAGATCCGGGTGCTCACACAGTGCTGGGTTGCCGGTGGTTGTTCGATGTGAGTTCGGGTTGAAAGAAATGGGATTGGGAATTGACCATGAATACAGATTGCTGGATTGTTTTCTTGTAGCAGGATGTTACCGCGAGCGACGAGGACGACAGGCCACCGTCGGTGCTTACCTTGGAGGGGAACTCTGAACTCGTACTGCGCAGGTGAATGGGGACAGAGACCTATCGTGGGCAATTGAGATTGAAAAGAGACCCAGTTGCAGATGGCCTCTGCGCCCGCAACAACTACTTGTGTCCCCATTTGCTTAGCGGGAGGCGCTCGTTCGATTCGAGCCTGGGTCACTGCTGTCCTCGAGATTATTTCTTTCCTTTTGTCCGTCGAGATCACCCCGCAGATTGAACAGTTGAATGCTTATGCGGCATGATACTGGTGAGCGGCAATAGTATTCTCTCCCTGTTCCTCCGGGCGCAGGTGAAACTGAACGTGAACGCAAACCTATCATGGGCAATGGAAGTTCAAAAGAGACTGACCTAGTTGCGGATGGTCCGCACTCGCACTAACTTGTAGGGTTTCTCGATTTGTTTGGGCGGAAGTATGCTCGTTCGATTCGAGTCTGGGTCATGGCTGTCAACGTCCCGGTTTTTCTTTGCTCTTCTTCCATTGATTCGACCGCGGCAAAATGTTACTTCTTCAAACACAATGGGGGTTAGATTTCCTTCCCTCCCTAAACTTGTCTTTCGAGCGCAGCTGACCCTGAACGCGACGCTATTTGTCCTGGGACATGCAAGTCGAAGGCGACTGACCCAGTGGCAGATGGTCTGCGCCCACAGCAACTGCTCTCTCTCCAAGATTGGTGGTCCACGCCTGCCGGAGCAACTGCTTCTGTCTGAACCCGCTGTATTAGGGGGAAGTGCTCGTTCGATTCGAGCTTGGGTTGTGATGCTGCGATGGAGGAGGAGGAGTACCTCGTATTGCGGCGACTGCGGGAGGGGGGTTTGGTCGGGACGAGGTAGGGCGCAGTTGCGGACCTTGCGGTCATTCCAACTTTTCAACCAATCGATTTCGTCGACGAGGGAATTCCATGATTGAACTTAAGGGAGATCGCATGGCAGCGCAATGCAAGGAGCGCAAGGTTACACTAATTTCTGGACGTGAAAAGTCTTCCAGGTTCAACCGGAACGACTCGGCGAAGCCGTTTCGCCGAAGGCCATCGAAGCTGGAACAATTCAACCGAACTTTGAGAGTGTCCGCTATTGCTGCCGCTCAGTGGAACCCGAAAGGGAGGCGCTCACATAGTCAAACCGAGTCCGAAAAGGGACTGCCTGCCCCATGAAACAGTCCACAAAAGGATGAACATTACTCTTGCACGCGTTACTAAGCTTACGACGTTCATATACCTTCGTTACCTAAACGGGGGGGTTGCAACCCAAACTCGTCGCAGCGCCCTTCGCCAACGACTCCTTCAAATCCGTGCCCGTAGCCCAAAGTCCCATCCCCGCCGTCGCGAGCGAGGCCAGCAAGAAGAGCAGATTCACGATCTTCCAATAGAAGCGCTTGCGGCCCCCGGCGAGGAAGGCGCGCTTCCAGCGGGACTGTATTGCGTTCGATGGGTTAGCAAATGCGTAGAATAACAGGGGGAGGGAACGCACGATTTGAAGCCAGGTGTCGATTTGCTGCGGCGCGACGCCGGGGGTGTGGAAGGGTTCGTCCGCGATGGCAGCGTCAATTCGTAGCTACAGGTAAGTGCATGTCAATGTGGTGGAGATTCTATACAAGGGGAAATGGGTACATCAAGGCCGAGCATCATGAGCGGAGGGAAGGTGTACGCTGGAGAGACGATTCAGGGTTAGAACTTAAATCGCTCGACAACGATTAGGGAAACTGCACGCACTGAAGTGGAAGAAGCCCATCGCGGCCAGCAATCCGGTGAGCGCACCAACAGATGGAATGGCGCTCGCGAGCACGAAGGCAATTCCCTGTACGCAAGGCCGTCCGTCAAAATGCATGGATGATAACCGAATAAAGATTCAACACACCCAGTATATGACCACCAAGCAACTCCAAACGATCCTTCCCCGCGCAGTCATCAACCCCGGGCCCTTTAGCAGCGTCTCCACGATGAGGCGGTAGATAACCTCTGCGCCCCAAATCATTCAGTCACTAACTCTCCGCGGGTGGATTACTGAATACGCACTCAACCCAATGTTCCCGTACAACCCCGCCGCAATCGTCCCCGTGATGATACCGATAACGTTGCAGATGGTCTGGCCCGAGTACGGCGAGAGGCCGGTGTAGGACTGGGCCTCGACGAACTGGCCCTCGAGTGCGTAGAGGGTGATGCCGTACATGAGGTAGACGGTGACGATGAGGAGTTGAGCCAGCGCCATTCCCTGGGATTTCCCCGTTAGTTGTTGGATGGTTGAATAGGTGTCTGGGGAGGAACTGACCTTGACGAAGTCGCGCGGGCGGCGCATCTCTGCCATAATCTGGATGTTGGTTCAGTTTTCCTGCTGTCATAATTGGGGCGGAGCAGTGGTTACCTCGGGGAAGATCATGGCCTAGATAGATCACGTCAACGCATAGCCTTGTCGAACAACATGAATCCTACGCACCCCTCCATACGCGAAAACCATATTGAAAACCCCGTTAATCTGGA